TTTTTTTTTTTTGTAAATACATTTATTTAAAACAAAATATTTTGCCAAACAATAGCATTGAATTACTAAAGTGAATTTAGTTATGCATTCTACTATGTACGTGTACCCATTGATTGGTGCGTGCACCTACAACCTAATCCGTGACGTATTTACCTCACATGTGCTGAGGAGCCTGAGAAGGCTGAGAAGAGTGTTGTGGCAGTAATGTAATGTAATGTGCGACGGAAGGAAGTGTGGTAACCTAGAAAAGGCGAAGGATGTTGTATTGTCGGTATCTTTGTGGAATGTTATTCTGCAAGTAAAAGATGGATTCTAAATACAATTTAGTGGGAGGAAAGTCGTGTCCTAAATTTCCAACGAAGAAGCCAGCAACTGTTGTAAATTTCGGTAGTAGCACAAAGAAAGCAAGACTTGATCAAAGACCAACCGAGGTTACGAAGCTAGGTCCCGGGACCCTACTCCAACAAAGAAAGTCTCTCCCCGTGTATGGTGTTCGAAACAGGCATGTGAATTTTTGTGTTTATGGCCGTAGGTAGACTGGATGAGTAAGTGAAGTTTTTTGTTTATGGGCTGGACAACCGGGCTTCTATTGCCGACAAAGCCAGGGCTTTGCATTCCTACCATCATGTTTGGGGCCCACCTTGCCGCCTATGGAGTTGATACCGGCAGATCTCCCCGTTAAAGGGGCTGGAGCATGAAACTAGTCTTTTATTATTTTGTAATTATGTCAATCTAGCGCCGAGGTTTAGAATGTGTGGTGCTTTATTCAACTCCCTCTAACATGTTCATGGCGTAGTATGTAGTATGCATTTATTAATTGAATTTTGTTTTTTTTTAATGAGTTCTTTCCAACGGCCCTGGTTATATAGCATCCATTGTAGAATATTTTGCAAAGGGTGGATTTAAGAGTGTATGGAGGGAATTAGTTTTGGTCTGTTTTAAGCTAATCATCAAGCAGTCACCAGGGGAATCGGAGGAAGATTACGAGAAACCTTGGCCATAGTGCAAGCAGTTGAGACATCTGTTTATAGAATAAGGTTTAATAGTAAAGGTACTCCAGATTCAAACCACTTACTACCTCGGTAAACTAGTTCATATTATGGCAATCTTGTGTTTGGATTTGGTCCCAGAGAATTTGCTTTCTCGACTGAAGTTTCCTATATTCACTGTGTCTTGAACTCTTCCTCACCAAAGAAATTTTTCTCATTGAGGACTTGAGATATAGGCTTGTGCTGTTCTGCACAAAAGCATCAGAAAGAATACTGACCAAGTTGAGAGACAAACAGATTTCCATCTGAGATGAGTTCAGTGCTACTGATGCAATAATCTGTTGGAAATGGATTGAAGCCAGCTACAAATAGTGGCATGTGACCAATTCATTTGCAGTACATGGTTTCCACCATAAACTCTGTAGAACAGAGCTATTCCATGTTGCAGTAAACTTGTATTTATGTACTGTGTGATAAAACTGCACAAAATATTATCTATTAGACTGACAGATGAACTGTCTTTGACTGCTTATAGCAAAGACCTCGGAATGTTCTGAAACATGCACGTTGTGGCCATTGTCCATTTATGCTGATGCTACTATGTTGTTCATTATATTTTCTTCAGTCAATTTTTGTAATACTAGTAGTACCTAAAAATAAACTGTGTCCATTTCCATATCATTGTTTATATTGCTTATAAAGCCCATTAAAGTTGCTTGTAGAGTATTGTCAGGTGCAGACCGCACCATAGCTCAAGCGGTTAGTTGCTGGCTTCCCACTGCAGTGGCCCTGGTCTGGTCAAGTGGGATTTGTGGTGGACAAAGTGGTGCGGGCAGATTTTCTCTGAGTACTTCGGTTCCCCTGCCAATCTTCATTCCACCAATTGCTCCACAATCACCCTCACTTATCATCTGGGGCTGGTACAATAGGCCAGAAGTGGCCGCAGTACAAGGGACTTAGTCCCACACCACTAGCAATTGTCAGATGGATATGTAGTTACTAGTATTAAGCAGGAGTTTGATACATGTAAATATATTTTGACATGAAACCTGAAAGCCAGAATAGTGAAGTCAGAATAGACATTCATTGCTAGGCAACAATTTGGTAAACATCCACGGAGTAACAAATATGCAAGCGACAATGAGTAACTTCCTTGCTATGCAATGGTGCCATAAACCTGCCTTCCTAAAAGAAGATTTCTGAAGCTAGCAGTTGCAGCATAGAAGATAGTCGAGTTTAGAGACACCAGCCTGCCGAGATATGAGCTTGGAAGTAGAGGAATTGAATTGAGTTGACAGTTGCAGAATATTGGCAAGATAGGAATTAGGCGGTGCAAAGAAGACTTCGTGTGTGATTTTAAGTTACAGTGAGATTTATAAATCCATTGCCAGGACATAACTAGAGAATACTGAGAACCTTAGTGCATGTGTAATGGTGAAATGTAAAGTGTGTAGATAAGTGGTAGCACTATATTGCCTGTAGTTCTGAGTCGTGTGTGTAAAGTGTCATAAAATCAAATCAACCAATCCAAACCCCATCTTATAACACACACACAACCCTACACATGGTAATATGTGATGTTAGAAATAAGTGAAGGTAAAGCCATCCCTGTAAGAGGCTGTGAAGGCCCAAAGGGGTGTGAGAGGTTGAGGCTCCCACATCTTCTAGACAGTTGGCTCATACATGGCAGTAATGTTGTCAGCCTTACATGCTGGCTGCCTTTTACTCTCCTAGGAAGAGCCCAGGTACTCATTTCTGTTGGAGGCTGAGTCGACCCCAGGGTCATAATGCGGCTGGAATGATTAAGTCAGTTGAAAAATCCAGGGACCTCATCAGGCTTCAATCCCATGACCTTCTGGCTTGTAGCATAGTGCCTCAACCAACTATGCTACTGCATGCCCCAAGAAATCAATAGTTTCATTATTCTAATACAATGTGTTGTAAATCTCACATAAAGAATGGGCACTTCTCTGGTTTTCTGATTCAGGAGGCAAGTAATGGTAATTTATTCATGGGGTGCTTTCTTTGCAGGCTCATTTCAGAGATTCAGAAACATTCAACAGTGATAATTATTGGAGAGACTGGCAGCGGTAAGACAACACAAATTCCGCAGTTCATGCATGAAGTACGGTTGGACAAGAATGGAATTATTGGAATAACTCAGGTGAGAATTCCTGTCTTCTTTTTGAAGACTGTTAAAATAACTCTCTTGAAACAGTTGATTTTAAACTACCTCATAGTGCCAGCTGTATGGACTTTATCTGATGGTGTGTTATAGTTTAGCACAAATGCAGGAAGAACATACATGTTTTGATGAGTAAGTATGATGAATTCACAAAATTTTTAATGGAAGTAAAGCTGAGGATGTAACTGACTAACTGCCTCACTTCATGGAGCTGAATCCTCAAGAATCCAACAGTTACTCAAGAATATCTCAAGTGGAGCCTTCAGGTTCATTACCATGTTCACAATAGCCTGCCACTGCTCTCTGTCTCGAATCAGATGAATCCAGCCTATACCACCCCATATTATTTCTATTAATATATTAACCTTCCACCTAATTCCAGGTTTTCCTAGTAGTTTCTTTGCCTCTTGTTTTTCCCACAAAAATCTTGTATGCATTCTACTTCTCATCAAAGCATGCTACAAGACCTGTCCATCTCCTCATCCTTGACTTGATTGTTCTAATTATACTTGTTGAAGAATACATGTTATGAAGCTGTACGTTATACAGTTTTCTCCAGCCTTCTGTTATGTCGTCCATTTTGGGTCCCATTATTCTAAAGCAGAAGGTATACAGATTAAATTTTTAACATTGTTAAGTTTTTGTTTAGAATAATAAAAATTGAACACCTATCATTTATGTAATTTTTACCAAGAGTCCTCCATTTTAATTGGAGATCTGTAAGTGTTGTGCTTTTTACAGCCATGCACTCATGTGATGGTCTAAGAAGCAGTTTTGATCTACATGTAATCCATTCATCTTCACACTTCAGACAGCACATTTTTCTTGTAACCCATGATATAAACTTACACTACACACCACCTTTGGAACAGATCAATGCATTTTGTTACTTGTGTTCAGTTCACCAACTCAGGTGACATCATTTGCTGGCCTGCGAAATGGAATCTGTGTTTGAGGCTGTTTTACACTGTATACTTTCGTGTTCATCATTAGACAGAGGTGAAACTTTCTAAGTGAAGTCTTTGAACCACAGCGAAAAGAAGATGTATGTACTGGTTCAAATGATCATATCTGTCAGGAGAAAGAAGGTGACTGATTCTAGTCTTTCACAGCAGTTCAGCGGTGAAGAATTTGCCTGCTTTCATGTATAAAATGACTGATGGAATAACTTCTTGCCATTTTTCGACTCTTTTCTGGTAATCCATGTGCTGATATCATCATCATCATCACTGGCACGACAGCCCTTTGTGAGCCCTGGCCTTCCTCAGGATTGCTCGCCATTCTTCTCCATTCAGTGCTACATTCCTCAGTTCTTTACACCCAAAATTCTTATGTCCTGCCACACACATTCTTCCCATCTCAATCTTGGTCTTCCCACTTTTCTGTTTCCTTCTGGTTAGTATTTTCTTAATCGTTCTATTCTCGCTGCCAAGTATTATGTGTCCAGACCATTCAAGCCTTTTTACCTTTATAAATCCAATAATGTCTGGTTCATTAAATAGTTTGTATAGCTCATGGTTATACCTCTTCCTCCATATTCCAGACTTAACAGTCTTTCATCCGATCTTGACAGTGGCCAGGTCTCAGAGGCATAAGATAGCACTGATCTTGTAAGTACTTTATACATCATAATATTGGTTTTCCTGGGTATTAGTTGGGATTTCAGGTGTTTCCTAAGGCCATGGAGACATTTATTTGCCACAAATACGCACTTTTTTATTTCATCAGTGATGTCATTTTTACAGTTAACTTCTGATCCAAGGTAAGTAAAACTACATACAACCTCAAATTTATATGAGCCAATTTCAATATATGCAGGTCCATTAGCACAGTCTTTCATGGTTACTGGCATGTACTTTGTTTTAATTTGGTTAATTTGTAGATTCATCTTTTTTGCTGCTCTTTCAAAATTAAGAAAAGCTTCTTTCATAGATTTTTGTGTTCTACCAATTACAAGGGTGAGTCAAATGAAAACCTTAAATTTGTAATAAAAAATCTAAATTTCGTGCCATTATCCTGTAAGTTGGTAAGTGTGCTACAAACAGCGTGCAGAATGGCCTGTAGGTTGCAGCATAGTGCAGATGCACGAACACCGTCACAGCACCAGTATATGATGGCTGCCCCACTTGAGACTTGCACCAGGGAAGAACAGCATTCTGTTATTCGGTTTTTGTGTAGTGAAGGTGTGAAACCTATTGAAATTTATTGAAGAATCAAGTTTCAGTATGGTGATGCATGTTTGTCACAGCAGCAGGTGTACGAATGGAGTAGGAAGTTTGCAAATGGTGTGACTCCAGAGAACACTGCAGCAGTTGAAGCCGTAGTGAAGGAAAACCGCCGAGTGACATTGAATGAAATTCCAGCAACTTTAAACATTAGTCTTGGTTCAGCACATTACATTGTGAACGATGTGCTCCAGTTTCACAAAGTGTCTGCAAGATGGGTACCACGGCAGCTGACTCCTGTATTGAAAGATCGGCGTATTGATGCTTGTGAAGAACTTCTGCGGCGCTTTGAATGAGAAGGTGATGACTTCCTTGCAAGAATCATTACTGGGGATGAAACCTGGGTTCACTTCCACCAACCGGAAACGAAGAGAGTGAGCAAGGAATGGCGCCATTCCTCATCTCCAAAACCGAAGAAGTTTCGAACACAACCATCAGCAGGGAAGGTTATGCTGACTCTTTTGGGACAAAAAAGATGTCATCTTGGAGCACTACACACCTAGAGGGACCACTGTCACCAGTGCATCATATTCAGATCTCCTAAAAATTCATCTTCGGCCTGCAATCAAATCAAAGCGACGTGGATTGCTGTCCACAGGTATCCTTTTCCAACATGACAATGCAAGGCCCCATACTGCCCGTACAACAGTTGCAACAATCAATGACCTGCATTTTCAGTGTCTTCCTCATCCGGCATACTCACCAGACCTTGCCCCAAGTGATTTCCATATGTTTGGACCACTCAAAGAAGCAATGGGAGGAAAGACGTTCCGTTCTGACGAAGAGGTACGCCACGTGGTGCATGAGTGGTTGCGCGGACTACCAAAAGAATTTTTTCCTAAAGGAATTCATGCACTTTGTAAGCACTGGAGGACTTGCATTGAGTGTGAGGGAGATTATGTTGAAAAGTGATACAGCTTTGTACCACATGTGCACAATAAATAATACTCAAAAAAATGTTTAAGGTTTTCATTTGATATATGACATATATACATATTTACTCACCTACGTATATCAATATCATCTGCAAATGCCAAAATTTGAACTGACTTATAGAATATAGTTCCCCTTGTGTTGATGCCTGCATCTCTAACTACCTTCTCTAATGCCATATTGAACAAAAGGCAGGCTAGGGAATCCCCATGTCGAACTCCATTTCTAGTTATTATAGGGCTGGACAACATATTCTGAATCTTAATTTGGGATTGGGTCTTTCTCATAGTGGCTCTGACTAAGGTGATTAACTTCCGTGGAATGTGCATCTCTTCCATTGCCAGAAAAAGACTATCTCTATCTATGGAGTCATAGGCTGATCGGAAGTCAATGAAAAGATGACGTGTTTCAATTTGGAATTCATTACACTTTTCAAGGACCTGGCAAATAGTGAAAATCTGATCATTAGTTGATCTTCCTTGATGAAACCCACATTGGTAATCCCCAATTATGCCTTCCACAAAGGGAGAAAATCTGTTAAATAAAATGTTGGAAAATATTTTATATGCTACATACAACAAACTAATCCCTCTCTAATTAGAGCATACCATGACATCGCCTTTCTTATGGATAGGGCATACAATACTTAGGTTCCATTCCTCTGGGTTTATTTCAGTTACCCATATCTTAACTATTAGCTGATGTAAGTGCTTAGCATATTCTGGGCCTGCAAATTTCACTAATTCTGCCGTGATGAGATCCATTCCTGGAGCTTTATTATTTTTCAATTTTTTGATAGCTTGTTCTACTTCTTTTATGGTTGGCGCTGGCTCTTCAGCCTCAAAATTTCCTTGATTCCGGTCTATGGCCATCCCTTCCACTTGTTTGGAGGCATTACCATTTAATAATTCCTCAAAATATTGCCCCTATCTTTCCAATATTGCTTCATTGCTACTCAATATTGTGCCTTCTTTATCTCTATGTAAGGTTGTTCTAGGTTGAAAGTCCTTTCAACTCTTGTTTAGTTTTCGATAAAATGATCTAATTTCGTTTGAACTTCTTAAATGCTCCAATTCAATCAGTTCTTGTTTATCATATTCCCTTTTCTTCTTTTTATGCAATCTTTTTTCTTCTCACTTCACGGTATTCTTCCACAGCCCCTCGAGTATGGTTCCTTTGCTGCATTCTCTTATATGTCTGGTTTTTTTTATTTGTCATGTGCTCTCACTCTCCATCAAACCAATTCTTATACTTTATCCTTTCCAGTCTTCCTAAAACTGCACCACCAGCATTTATAATAACATCTCTGAGGTCCCTCCAGGCTTCACTGACATCCTCACGATCAGAGAGACGTGCCAGGCATTCACTAATTAATCCAGTATATCTGGTTGCAACTCCTTGTTCCACCAATTTTTCACAATTCAATTTCTTAGCCTGGGATCCATGTATCTTCCTTGCATTTGATATTCGACGTCTAATGTTTGATATTATTAAGTAATGATCAGAGTCAGTGTTGGCCCCCCTGTAGCTCCTGACATCCATCAAGTGTGAATAATGTCTTACATCTATTAGGATGTGATCAATTTGATTAAACATTGTACTACCTACTACCATGTTTCTTGAGGAAGCAAAATTTATTAATCTCATCCAAATATCGTTTGACTTGTTGTGTAGGCTATGTTTTCCAATAACTGATCTATATACATCCTCATTCCCCACTTTAGCATTCATGTCCCCTGTGATTATTTTACAATCCCTTTTTGGACATTCGCCATATATTTCATCCAGTTCATCATAAAAGGAGTCTTTCTCCTCATCACTTTTATCTTCAGTTTGGGCATGTGCACAAATAAGGCTATAGTTAAAATACTTTCCCTTAATTCGTAGCCTACGTGTTCTGTGAGACTTTGCCTGGAAGTCTAAAATAAGATGCTTCCCTTTTTTATTAACAGTAAAACCTGCTCCAAACATTTGACTCTTCTTCTGACAACTGTAGGATACAACATGATCCCTTTTATCCATGACTCCTTTACCCAACCACCTCAGTTCTTGTATAGCAGTGATATCTAGTTTATAGCTAGTTAGTTAGTTAGTTATTGGAGAGGGTGGGTTTTCCCATGCACTGAGACCTGTATTGGTCCATTGTGCTTCCCTCTATGATTTCTACCAGTCTCTATATCGTACCGGTACTGGTGCTTACCATCAGTCCCGCCCAGCCAGCGAGACCGGCTCTACTAGCTGAGAGGTATCTATAATGCTTCCCCCATCTACCAGAGGTATTAGAGACTGCTGGTGGGCGGGAAATGTCCGTTAATTTGGCTCAGTGACCTCCTTTGGAGATATGAGGTTCTTTTAAGTGCCGTAAAGCTACGACACTGGACCCACGGCTTAAAGTCCCTCCCAGAGGACTTGTTCCCTGAATTTTTCCGTCCTTAAAAATTCGACGACCTCCACCGGGTATTTGAACCCGCGTACTACAAGTCATAAGATGGGAACGTTACCTCTAGACTACGGAGGCCGCTTAGTTTATAGCTATCTAGTTGTTCAAGTAGCATTTTTAGCGCTTCAGCTCCGTAAAGAGATAATACATTCCAAGATCCAGTTCTCAAATCCTTTAAACATTTTCCAGGTTGTCTTGAATAGGTCCGTCCGGCTACTCTTTCCTCAGATTTCTGAACAATTTAGTTTTTATGGTGTGAGGTTGTCGGCCTCACACCCAAACCCCAACCTGGAGGACCAGGGTATCTCTCTCTGGCTCCTACCACTTGACCTGTCCAGCATGGGTGGCCCTACCAGTAGCTACGCTACTGCCGGCATAGCTCTCAGGAGCTCTCAAACCCCACCACCATGATAATGTGGAGATACCATTGGTGGGTGTTATACTATTCTGCTGTATATTACTGAATGATAGCCAAGTGGCTGGCATTTTGCTTCATATTGGGAAGGTCCTGAATTCATATCTTGGCCTAGAGAGGGGCTACTCTGATTAAGGAATTTCATGGTTTTCATGAGGGTCCCATTTTCTGGTCTCAACATTCTCTTGATCTGAATCTACTTGATTTCTTATGCTGAAATATCAGTGAAAATGTTCATGCTGTGTAATTTCAAGGTCATAACGACCTGATGACTTGTATACTAGCTGCAGCAGACAATAAGTGCCAACCTAGACAACTGGTTCATGTCAGGGAGTACATTCCTTGCTGGTGTGAAGTGTGCCTGTGAGCTGGAGTAGGCAGCTTTGTGTAGTTTTCTTGAAGGAATACTTAGAACTGTGGGAGAGCCTCAATAAACAGTAGACATTTGTGTTAAAAGATAATATAGAATTTTGAATTCAAAAGAGCTAATTACTTCGCAGTTTTTGCGTATGTTTAGTTGTATGTAAAAGTAACAGACACAAATTTTAAATGCAAAGAAGTGAATGTGTACATGAATGGACAGTTATTTTATTTTCTTAAGAAGTGGTGAAATGTTGTAACTCAACAAAGATTGATAGAATTAAACAATTTCCAGGTGATGGTTGTATGGTTACAAGGTGATGAATCAAAGAAGAACATTTTTACATTCTCTGCTGCAAACTATCACCACGGCCTCTTCCTAAAGTAGGGCCATAGCACTTTGAATCATTCTTTTTATTTGTGCATCTTTCTTTCTGTGCATTTGCATGTATGTATCACAGGCTCATTAACCTGTCCAAGGTAGTTATTGGAGATCTTTTTGTCTTGTCACCCTAAGTACTGAGTATCCAATATACTGTGTCTAAAACATTTATGATATATCATCAGATAGTTATGTAGATCATTATAATATTGTGACGTGTTGCGCTATGGATGATGCCCCTCCCTCCCCGCCAGCCGTGACGTGCCGAGCGGAGCTGAAGTGAGCTGAGTCCCAGCACGCTGGTCGCTATGCAAAGCAAGTAAACAGCATTTGCTAAGCAAAGCAAGTAAACAGTGGTTGCAAGAGACAACGGTAATAACAGCGGTACCCATTATGTAACAGGCAAACACGGCGTCAGACAACAGTGGTGCCTATTACGTAACTGTTTTCCCGTTGTCTGGCTGAGGGTTTATAAGGGAACTACACAGCCGCCGAAGTCAGTCTAAAGCGTACAAGCCACTGAAGACAGTTCTCAAGGCAGCAGCCTACAAGTTGAGGTGGAAGTTAGTGTGTGATCAGGAGTGACACAGTTAAAGTATATCAGCGGCTGAAGACAGTTCTCAAGGCAGCAGTTACGAGTTACGAGTTAGCCAGCAGTGAGTCAGTTAACCAGTCAATAGCTGTCTATCTTTCATCGGAGTATTTGTGATACTGCCAATGGCAGTAATTGTCAGATTGTAAATTGTGTGATTGTAAGAGCGAGTGGAATAAATTCACTATATCAAATAAGGCGTGAAATTATTTGTCGCGTTATACACCCAACACCTGACAATATCATCAGAAAGTTCAGTATACCAAGTTTTCATGCCAGATATCTAACTGAATATATGGGACATTTGTTGCATAAGGTTGCCTGCTCAAGATGTGGCATACCATCAGAAATGTTTTAGAAGACATACAGTAACTGCATTTCCCATAGAATACCATAATCTGTTGGTAAAAATAATCACACATGGCCTGCTGAACTTGGGCATTTGACTGGAGTAGTTATTCAGAGGCCTGAAGGCATGAAAACTGCAAACACAAAATTTTATTTGGAAAACCTGAAGTGAAAATAACTTAGAACACATAGACATGTGGATGGAATGATACTATTAAACTGAATCATATAGAAATAGGTTGTGAGGCTTTGCATTGAATTCATGTGGCTCAAGATAACGTCTATTAGCATGCTTTTGTGAACATGTTAGTGATCATTCAAGTGGCATAGAAAGTAGGGAATTTCTTGACAAACTGAGAACTGTGAGCTTCTTAAGAATGACCCTGGTCCATGGAATTAGCATAGGGTCCCTGATGATTGAATAAGACTAAGGCCATTAGTACCTCGATGAAAAAAAAAAAGTAAAGGTATCCCTGTAATAGGCCGTGGAGGCCCATAAGGTTGTGAGATGTTGAGGGTCCCACATCGGCTCATAGATGGCAGTAAGGTTGTCAGCCTTATGCGCTGGCCACCCTTTACCCCCAAGAATATTCCTGGTACTCATTTCTGTTAGAGGCTGAGTCGACCCCAAGACCATAGTGCAGCTGGAAGGATTAGGTAAACTGAAAAAAAATCCAACTCATAGGGATTTGATCCCATGACCTTCCGGCTTCTAGCATAGTGCCTCAGCCAACACCTCAATGATAACAAGTTTAATTTCTTTGACTCTGTTTTGTAAAATTGTCAATTTTCTGTCACTGGTCTGCATGGCAGGGAGATTTATGCCAAAGCATTATCTCCTTTAGTCACTGTAGAGCACTCTGTTGGTTGTGCCTTTTATTATTTTGTAAATTCTGTTCTCAGCCACGCCGTGTAGCAGCTATAACTCTGTCTCAGCGTGTCTCACAGGAAATGAATACTGATTGTGGAGCTATTGTTGGATACACTGTGAGGTTTGAAGACGTTACATCAGAATGCACAAAGCTTAAGTACCTCACTGATGGAATGTTACTTCGAGAAGCAATGTTGGGTGAGATTTGCTCTATTTTTAGCTTTAGTTGAAATCCTGAAAGGCATGTAGTATGAATGAATGAATGTATAAATAAGGGGTGGGCCTTCTCGGCCCTTGCACCGCGACCCATAGTGATCTATTGTGCTTCCCCTTTTGATTATCCCTTCAGTAATCCTGCGCTTTGAATGAAGTGCAGGATTTTGTATGTGTAACCCATGGTTTTCTTGCTATCTTCTCAACTTTACCAACCAATTCACTAATAGTATCTAACATGCATTCTTTTATATTGTTCCACTGCACTTCAGCATTTCCACTTTCACTTTCAGTTGCACTGAGTTTCTCTTCTAGGGTCTCCTGCATGCTTTGTCTTTGGGCATATAACTTCTCCAAATCCCATTTAGGTCTGCGCTTTTGGAATCTTATAATTTTCTTCAATCTGGTTCGAAACTTGGCAACCAGTAAGCTGTGGTCAGAGTCAATATGTGCCCCAGGCAGCGTCTTCACATCCTTCACACTGTTTCTGAATCGATGTTTCACAAGGATGTAGTCCAGCTGATGCCGCCTCCAATCCTCAGGTGCCTTCCATGTGTAAAGTCTTCTCTTTGGCTTCTTGAACGAAGTGTTGGTAACAGTCAGTCCATTTCTTTCACAAAAGTCAATAAGCATTTGACCCCTGTGATTCCGTCTTCCTAGTCAATGTGATCCAACAATATTCTGATATGATTCATCTCCAACAGTGCTATTCCAGTCTCCTAATATGATGCTGTTTGTGTCACCTCTTCCATCTTCCTGAAGAATTTCTTCAATTGTGTCATACACTTTTTCCACTGCATCATCTTCATGTTGGCATGTACACTTGCATAATCAGTATATCTACCGGTTCCGCCTTTAACTTCAGAGCAATAATTCTGTCATTACAAACAATCTTCTTAACAACACTCCTCACTACACTTTTATGCACCACTATTGCCACACCTCTTTCAGCCCGTTCACCTCCAGAATAATACACTGTATAATCACCACTTCTTATTTCACCTTGTCCTAACCATTTGAAGGATGGTGATGGGCCTTCAGGAGGCATGAATTTGGTAGGGTAGCTACTATTGTTACTACTTGCTTCATTGCAACATTAATCCACTGCATTTGACCATATGTGCAGGCAGCATGGCTGTCCAGAACAGTTTTGTAGTATGTAATATGAGTAGGTCTGGAATGCTGCCTTAAGACACGTGCACGAAGGTATGCATTTGAACCAGGAACTCAAAAAATGCCATTAATTTTATATAGCAAGTGGTTTTCCCAGTGCTTGGAATCTGCATACAATTTCTCAAACATTCCTTTAGCTCTAGTTTCATCTCTATGATGTGTACTGGTATCACATCAAACTATAGTGAAACCTCATTAATTCAAAATTAATGATGTTTCTGGCAACTGTTTTTTTATTTTTGCACATTATGATCATGGCGACCATGTTGCCATACATGAAATATTTAAGACTGATGTCTAAACTTAAGTTTTTACATTTCATGACAAGTAAATTTATTTTATAATATGCAATCTGAGGAATTAAGTTGTATCGCCAAAAAATACATGTGGAATCCATTTTATAATTTTCCTAAACATAATTTCAGTAGTGCTTCTTTAATTCGGACTTTCACTAATTTGGATAAGGGTTTGCTCCCAATTTGCCTGAATTAGTGAGGTCGTACTGTATTTTTTTCAGTGAGTACTTTCTTTTGCAAATTTTTAGAAGTTATTGGGTGACAATATTTGCACAACTGAAGGATGCTGAAAGTTTCCTTGGCTGCCTACCCATCAGTATTGTTGAGGTGTCTAAGTGATACTCTTTTTCATCACTCATAGCACATGTTCCTAAAAGTCAAAGATGCCAAACTGAATCATGCTGTTGGTGTAAAGACAAGGCCAACAAGTGTAACCAACCATGCAGAGGAATTTCCCTTCGTCTCTCTACCATCTTAAACTTTTGTTTGAAATGTGCACAGCCCAGACACAGACTATTTACTCGTATACCTTTATTTCCATAGATCACAAAGTACAAGGGTAAGTCAATAAGTAAGTAACAAATGGATATAGAAACTAAACAAATAAGAGTACTGATTTGAAAAATGCTTTTATTTCTCACCCTAATCTCCCTGTACATTGAGGCACTTGTCCCATTGTTTCACAAGCCCCTGTAAACCAGCAGCATCAAATTCTTTGGGCTGTTGTTGGAACCAAGCAGTGACTTCCCTTTCTACAGCTTCATCGTCAAGAAAATGTTCAGCTGAAAGATGATGTTTAAAAGGGCCAAACAAATGGAAGTCGCTTGGAGCAAGGTCGAGGCTATATGGAGCATGCTCGAGGACTTCCCACTTGAAATTTTGCAGCGTCTGATTTGTCTTGTTGGCAGTTTGGGGACGCTCATTGTCATGCCAGAGCAACACGCCTTTGGTGAGGAGTCCTGTTCACTTCCATTGAATGACCATAGGAAGTTTCCTGATAATGTTACAGTAGGAGTTGGCATTTATGGTTTGTCTGTGAGGCTGGAATGTGGTGAGCAGTATGCCTTCATGATCCCAGTCACCGCCTGGTTCCGACAGCACCCAAAGAATTTTATGCTGCTGGTTTTAAGTTCTATATCCATTTGTAACTTACTTATTGACTTACCTACATATAAGGATGTGGAAATTGTCATAACCAATAGAAAAGAAAAATAAAACAGTACAAGTGTACATATAGTCAAGCAATACTACACAATATTATAACATTTACGGGCACAGAAACAATACTAAAAACCTAATATTAGTGACTGTATATGATTAATCACTTATTACAAAGAAATTATATCTTTATTTTTATCATATTCAAAATCAAAATATTCTTCCAGTGTATAAAATGAATGCAAACAAAAAATCCTTCAAAGCTGATTTAAAATCTTTACAATTATTGTATAATTGCTTTAAATATAAAGGATGATTATTAAACACCTTAATACCCATATAGCAGGTTCCCTTCTGATATAGTGATAGATGAGTTGAGGGTTGACGATTAAGATTGTAACCCAGTCTTGTATTTCTCTTATGTATATCTGATATAATTGGTATGAATCCATGTTATCAACCACAAAACAATAAAGAATAAATATACTGAGATCGAAAAGGGCAAATTCTTAATGTTTTAAATAACCGTCTACAAGTGTTTCTATTACTAATACCTGTCGTTATTCTAAGTGCCCTCTTCTGCTCATGAAAAATATTTATAGCATATGAAGAATTTCCCCAGAAAATAATACCATCATGCATAACAGAATGCAAATAAGCATAATAGACCATCAGCAGTGATTTCTGATTCACATATGGCTTAACAGTTCTTATTGCATAAGAAGTTGATCAACATGTCTCTTCCATGATATCGTGTTTATGATATTAATTCTTAAAAACTTGATATAACATGACTCAGAAAGTTTCTTGTTGCCATATACAGTATTAATATAATTGTCCTGGTCATAGGAATTTTTTGTTGTGAATTTAATATAATCTGTTTTGGAAAAGTTTAAAGATAATAAATTGGCATTAAACCATATATCTAAAATTTTTAAAACTTCAGTTAATCTGTCTTGGAATACCAAGGGATCAAGTTCACTAATAATTACACTAGTGTCATCAGCAAAAAGAATAGGGGTAGAAATCTTATTTAGTACTAAAGGAAGATCATTAATATAAATCAGAAAGAGCAAAAGTCCCAAAATGGAACCTTGGGGGACTCCATGTGAAATTTTACCCAAATTTGAGTATATGTTCAAATTATAATACTTTGATTGTAATCTTATTCTTTGAAATCTTCTATCCAAGTATGGTGTTATTAATTTGTGCATTAAGCCTGAAATACCGTAAAACTATAATTTAGATAACAAAATCTTATGGTTAACACAATCAAAAGCTTTTTCTAGATCACAGAATATTCCTCCCACATTATGTCCATTATTCAGAGCTATTAATATCTGTTCAAGTAATCTGTAAGTGACTTTGTCAGTCGAAAAGTTTGCCCTAAATCCAAATTGTTAATTTACCCAAAAATTATTATTGGCCAAGTGTTTACAAAGTCTCCTACATATCATTTTCTCAAATATTTTTTAGAAAGAAGTTAACGATGTGAGTCTATAATTACCAATAAGTCCATTAAGTTTATCTGGAAATATACCAGTTGATAATGAGCTATTTATTATATAGGTTAATGATGAAGTAATGTAATTTGTACTGTTTTTCAAAATTTTGACTATCTCATCATATCCATAAGAACTGGTCATTTTCAATTTATTCTTTATTTATTTAATTTCTGTTGAGCCATACTGGTACAACCATTGGATATAGAAAAGTAAAAGAAAACAATACAAGACAGTACAATAATAATAATAATAATAATAATAATAAGAAGAAGAAGAAGAAGTAGATATGCAATCATTAAAAGATTTTGTCAAAAAAAAAATAGTAGAACACTGTAAGTATTGATAAAATGATGTTACTGTTACCATCAGAAATACTTATCTAGTTTTATGCATAAAAAATTCATCCACAGTATAAAAAGAATGCTCATGCAAATCATTTTTAATGTTTTTTTAAGGCTTTTAATATCACATGCCAAGTCCTTAATATCAGCTGGGAGATGGTTATATATCTTAATGCCTGCGTAGGCGGGACTTTTATAAAACATCGTCAAGTGAGTTGTTACTTGAAAAATATTAGAATTATTCTTGGTATTAAATTTATGAATTTCAGAATTTTGTCTAAACACTGATTTATTGGTAACCATAAACAGAGCCAAGGAGAGTATGTACTGGGATGCTGGAGGTAATATATTTAAAATTTTAACAAATTTTCTGCAAGAATCCCTGGGTGTTGCTTCCATTAATATTTTAACCATTCACTTTTGGAGTTTGAAAATATTCATACTGTGGGAAGAAGTTCCCCAGAAAATTAATCCATATGTTATAACTGAATGAAAATAAGCATGATAGATTATCTTTAGGGAATTTAATGATAAGATAGGTTTAATTGCTCGTGCAATATAACATGCTTTGTTTAATCTGGAAGCCAACATATTGATGTGACTCTTCTAAGACACAGTATTGTGAAGTACTAGCCCAAGAAACTTAGTTTGGTAGTGGCAATAATTTTGTTGTTATATTTAATTAATTAATAATTTTTACAATTTAATTAGTTTTGACTGAACTACATCTAATGCTAAGAAAAGTAACTTCAAAAATATCAGATAAATATTCACTAGAAGTTTTATTTTTATCAGTTAAATTTCAATTATTTGATATATTATGGATAACTATGTCAGCTACAGACAGAAAGTATTTTAAAATTTAGAAATGCTTTTTGAATTAGTACAAGGGTCATAATGAAAGTCATGAGCAACAATTTTTTGTAAAGTAACATGCTTTATTATTGACAAACCAAATACACCACCTCAATCTACAGACCTTCCT